CCCCTCCCAGCCCCTTTTCTCAGAGCCGACCCCCATTCCCGAGGCACTCCTGTGAGGTATCACCCACCCAGTCCCCTCCTGTCACCCACCCAGTCCCGCCCTGTCACCCACCCAGTCCCCTCCTGTCACCCACCCAGTCCCCTCCTGTCACCCACCCAGTCCCCTCCTGTCACCCGCCCGGTCCCCTCCTGTCACCCACCCAGTCCCCTCCTGTCACCCACCCAGTCCGGCCCTGTCACTCACCCAGTCCCCTCCTGTCACCCACCCCGTCCCGCCGGATCCTGTCACACCCCCGGGGATGGCACAGAACCCCCGAGCCCCCTCCCAGGGCACCCCAAATCCCTCTCCTCGATCCCCCCGCCGCACCGACTCCCGTTCCGGTGACATCCCCACACCGCATCAGCCACTCCCGGGATCCCGCCGCTGTCTTTCCCGGGGCAATCCCGACTCCGGTCCCCACGCCCGGCACCAATCGCCTCCCCGCCCATCGGTACCTGTTGCCGTTCTCATACTCCGTGTGGGCGCAGTCGGGCCGCGTCCATACATTGAATTCGTAGTCGGCGGCGGGGAGCGCGTTGGCGCGGACGGCGGGGGAACCCCCCGTCTCTGCCGGCCGCACCTGCTCCACGTGTGCCAGGTTCCCCGAATCGAAGCGGGAGCTGAAGAGGAGACCCCCGCAGCGGATCTCCATGGCCCGGCAAGGCCGGGAGCGGCATCGCCCCGGACGGCCCCGGGACGGCCGGTACGGGCCGCCCGGCAACAGCAACGCGCCCGCCCATTGGCTGCCGCCTCCCAGCAACCCGCCCGCCCATTGGCTGGCGCCTCGGCAACGGCCGCAGCGGCGCTGAGGGCACGGCTCCGCCCCGACCGCGCCCCCGTGAGACCACGCCCCTTCATTATCATAACCACGCCCCTCGTTTGGCTTAGTCCCGTCCGCGCCTCGCGAGACCACGCCCCCTCATTGCAATGGCCACGCCCCTCACAGGGCTCCGCGCCCGCGGCGACCACGGGGGACCGTGAGCTCGGACACGGGGGGACGAACGGACACAGGGGAGACAAACGGACACGGGGGTGAATATGGACACGGGGGAACGAACGGACACGGGGGTGAATATGGACACGGGGGAACGAACGGACACGGGGTGTGCACGGACACGGGGATAAATATGGATACGGGGTGTGCAGGGACACGGGGGACAAACAGACACGGGGGTGAATATGGACACGGGGGGACAAACGGACATGGGGTTGTACAGGGACACGGGGGTGTGGATGGAGTGCAAGTGTGTGTATGGACATGGGGTGTGCATGGAAATGAGGTGTGTATGRACACCAGAGTGCGTGTGGACACCTGGGTGTGGATGGAGCACACGCGTGTGCATTGACACAGGTGTGCACATGGAGCACAGAGGTGTACATGGACACGTACACAGAGCACAGGTGTGCACACGGACACATACACGGAGCACAGGTGTGCACATGGAGCACAGGTGTGCACATGGACATGTACATGGAGCACAGGTGTTCACACGGAGCACAGGTGTGCACATGGACATGTACATGGAGCACACGTGTGCACATGGACATGTACACGGAGCACAGGTGTGCACATGGAGCACAGGTGTGCACACGTAGCACAGAGGTGCACATGGACATGTACACAGAGCACACGTGTGCACATGGAGCACAGGTGTCTACATGGACACGTGCACGGAGCACAGGTGTGCTAACGGAGCACAGGTGTGCACATGGACACGTACACACAGCACACGTGTGCACATGGACATGTACATGGAGCACACGTGTGCACATGGAGCACAGGTGTGCACACGTAGCACAGAGGTGTCTGTACATGGACACATACACAGAGCACAGGTGTGCACATGGACACGTACACAGAGCACACGTGTGCACATGGACACGTACATGGTGCACAGGTGTTCACATGGAGCACAGGGGTGTACATGGACACGTACACAGAGCACAGGTGTGCACATGGAGCACAGGGTTGCACATGGACACGTACACGGAGCACAGGTGTGCACATGGAGCACAGGGGTGTACATGGACATGTATACAGAGCACAGGGGTGTACATGGACATGTACACGGAGCACAGGTGTGCACATGGACACATACACAAAGCACAGGTGTGCACATGGAGCACAGGGGTGTACGTGGACATGTACACGGACCACACGTGTGCACATGGAGCACAGGTGTGCACATGGACATGTACATGGAGCACAGGTGTTCACACGGAGCACAGATGTGCACATGGACATGTACATGGAGCACACGTGTGCACATGGACACGTACACGGAGCACACGTGTGCACATGGACATGTACATGGAGCACAGGTGTGCACATGGAGCACAGGTGTGCACACGGAGCACAGGTGTGCACATGGACATGTATACAGAGCACAGGGGTGTACATGGACATGTATACAGAGCACAGGGGTGTACATGGACATGTACACGGAGCACACATGTGTACATGGACACGTACACGGAGCACACGTGTGCACGCAGGCACAGACACATGTACAAACCCACATGCAGGAGTGCACACAGATGCCCCATCATGTACATATCCCGTTAAGAACACACCCACACCACTGACACACCCACACAGCTGACAGAGGTTGGGTTCCAATCTACACCTCCCACACTCCCCACGGACACAACCCTGGGGTGGCTGCCAACAGCAACTCCTTTRACTCCTTTAAATCCCCCAAAATGTTCGGGGTCCAGCTCAGACACTGCCACTCCCATTGTGGGGGAAAATGTGCTTCCCTGCCAAAAAGGGGCTTGGAATGGGGGTGCAGAGGGGTCTGGACAACCCCTYTCCCCGCCATCATACACAGATCTCTTCAATAAAGAGGAATAATAAAGCATATGGAGCAATTATGAAGAAAAAAATAATAAAATAAATCAGTTCATTGAGTGGTGGGAAGGGGCGGGGAGGTGAGGTGAGGAGTTCCAGGTGTCCAGCCCTGATCCTGCAAGCAGGCAAAGCACGAGGGGATGGGGATCACATACCCAGGGGCAGTGGGACAGGAAAGCCAAAGTGGTCACAGGGTATGGAAAAATCTGGACGTGTGTCTCCCCAGCACCCCAAAGGATAAACCTCTCCCAAAAGCCCCAGTTTGACCCCAAGTTCCTGTGGGCATTGCCCTCGATGCCCGTCACACATCCTGCTGCACTCTGAATACTCCTTGGCAGCCAGAATGTTGGGAGGCGGTGTGACCACCTCCAGAAAGCAGCTCAGTGTCCAGAAATCATAGCCAGGGCCCAGTTTTTGAGGGCCAGGGTTGTGTTTTGCAGGTAAATCCAAGAAGAATAGGTGAAGCTCATCAGGTGGTCCCTCACGCACTCCCACGTCAGGTCCCCACTGGAAAAGGAAGGACAAGAGGTTATGGGGACAGTGACAGGGGGGATACAGGAGACACCAGAGCAGGGTGAGGGGAGGCTGGCACAGGGAGAGGTGACTGTGGCACCAAGGGATGGAGCAGAACCCAAGGGAATCACACAGCAGGAGCTGCTCACTTGCAGGAGTCGAGGCAGCGCTGCCAGCCCCGCTGCAGCACCGCAGCCAGGCCCTGCAGCAATGGCAGCAGGCAGCTCCKCAGCAGGAACAGCAGCAGCTCCCTCACACACTCAGCCAGGTGCAGGAAGGACTCGGGGAGACGGTTCTGGAGCTGCAGGAACAGAGAGAGATGGTTTGGGGTGAGCACCAAACCCCAGCAGGTCTGGGGTCCTCGTTACCCATGGCTGTCCTATCTCAGCATCCTCCTCACCCTCCCATGTCTCCAGTACTCAGCATACAGGGCACCACACTGTGAGACACTGATGTCACCCCATTGCCACCAAAATGTGGACTTTTGGAGTTTTCCGAGCCCTGTCCCTTCCACAGTCACAGGAAGCAGCCAGCATGGTGCCACACGGGGACAGATGGCATTGGAACCTGCCCTGGGGCTGCCCCGTTCCCAGAATCCCAGCACTGGAGAGCAGGAGCAGTGACAGACATGTCACCATCCTATTTCAGGCCTCCCCAATGGATTCTCCAGCCCCACAAACCCCACACTGGGGCATTCCTCATCTCCTTACCCAGTCACTGAGCCAGGGCAGGCTGCCATGGAGCCAGGAGAGCAGGAGCAGTGACAGACACGTCACCATCCTATTTCAGGCCATCCTCTGTATCCCCCAATGGATTCTCCAGCCCCACAAACCCCACACTGGGGCATTCCTCATCTCCTTACCCAGTCACTGAGCCAGGGCAGGCTGCCATGGAGCCAGGAGAGCAGGAGCAGTGACAGACATGTCACCATCCTATTTCAGGCCTCCCCAATGGATTCTCCAGCCCCACAAACCCCACACTGGGGCATTCCTCATCTCCTTACCCAGTCACTGAGCCAAGGCAGGCTGCCCTGGAGCCAGGAGAGCAGGGAGCAGCACTGCTGGGACACATCCTGGATGAGCTGACCACTGGTTTGCCAGAGCAGCTCCAGCTGTGGCTGCAGGATGGACACGGCCACGGAACCGTGCTGGGCCAGGCTGTGCTCCAGCCACCTGCAAGGGAATCAGGAGAGGGATGGACCAGGGGAGAACTGGCATCAACACAGCACATGGGCACAGAGCTGTCACCATGGGCTGAGTGGCAGAGAATTTCAGACTGAGCTCAAAGTGCTTCCAGGCAGAGAATTTCAGACTGAGCTCAAAGTGCTTCCAGGCAGAGAATTTCAGACTGAGCTCAAAGTGCTTCCAGGCAGAGAATTTCACACTGAGCTCAAAGTGCTTCCAGGCAGAGAATTTCACACTGAGCTCAAAGTGCTTCCAGGCAGAAAATTTCACACTGAGCTCAAAGTGCTTCCAGGCAGAGCTGGGGAACAGCTCTCAGCTCCCTCCCAGGGCTGGACAATACCCTCACCCCTCACTGCAGCCACCCACACAATCACAGACCTGTAGCCCTCACGGCAGCCACGGGACACTTTCTGCCAGGCCAGTTGGGAAACAGGCAGCACACCCGAGGAACGSAGCAGCCGAGCAGAAGAGGAAGCTGCAAGAGAGAAATAAATGTGCTCCTTGAGTGGYCCTGGGCTGCAGGAATATGCCTTGGTCTGTCCCCATGAGGGGACACGTGGCTCAAGCTGTGCTGTGCAAYATCTTGGGAGATGTTCCAGGACAAAGGCAGAGACTGGAGGGGCTTTGCTCAGGGGAGAGACACAGGATTAATCCCAGTGATGTTCCTTGACAGAGCAAAGGGAAAAAGCCTCAAGCTGGGACAGGGAAGGTTTAGGTTGTAAACAAAAAGCAGTTTCTTCATGGAAAAGGCTGTCCAGACTGCCCAGGGCAGTGGTGGAGTCTCCATCCCTTGGGGGATTTAAAAGCTGTGTGGATGTAGCACGTGGGGATATGGGATTGTGGTGTTCTTGGGGGATGCTGGACTTGATGCTCAGAGCATCCTGGACAATCCAGCCTGGATTATTCTGTGATTCTGTGGCCCCCAGCATACCCTGAAAGGAGCCGTGTGTCTGCACGTCATGCAGGATGAAGCCAGTGGCACAGAGCAGGAGGATGAGCAGCAAACGCCACCAGGGGAAGAGCCGACCCTTCATCTTGTGCAGCAGCTCCTGAGGGGGAGGACAAGGCCCTGTCACCATCACTGTGGGGTGACAGCACCGAGGAGACCCCTCCAGGAGCACCCAGAAAGGACCAGTGACATTTGCAGAGGAGCTGGGGACATGGCCAGGGACCAGCACATCTGTCCCCAGCGTGTCCTGCATGTGCACTGCTGCAGGGCCCAGCTCAGTGTGTGACAGTGACAGGAGGGGCCAAGCAGAGCCCCAGCACTGAGATCTGGCCACTGGGTGATACTGGGCAGTGCCCACCCCATCCCACCCCTCACCTTGCAGGCAGTGTCACACGCGGCCACGTCCTGGTCCCCTCCAGTCCCCCTGGCTGCCAGCTCCTCATTKGTCACTTTGAAGGAGCAAACCGTTTCCTGCAGGGACTGATGCACCTTGGGGACAGCAGGAGCTGTGTCAGGAGCCCCCCAGAGGTGCCACAGCACCAGGAGGGCACCGCAGGTCCCATGGGGACATTGCCAGCTCAGCACAGGGACATTCCCCACCCCACAGTCACTCCTACCTTCTTGCTGCTGCTCTCCCAGGACTCCAGGAGGTGATTCAGCAGCAGACTGGGGGGAAGAAGAACATGAGGCTTTGTCAGGAGCTCCCAGMAGGAATTCAGGAGTCCCAGAGGTTCTGTAGGTGAGCAATGGCTCCTCTTGAAGCCACGGTATGGACTGACCTGGACTGAGCAAGGTGTTTGGTGTACAGCTGCCTCCAGACACTGAAGCTCAGCGGGTCCAGGCTCAGGCACTGGCTCATGGAGGTCAGAAGCTGAGGAGAGAGCACAGCAGGTCATTACATGCCATACCCTGGCACAGGGGACACCCTGGGCTGTACCCTGGCACACCAGCCAGCCCCACACCTCCCAAACCCAGCCAGATCCTACGGCACCAAACACAACCCTGGCACCCCATCCATGGATGGTCCTCAAGGTCCCTTCCCAAACCATTCCATGATTTGATGATTCCCTGGGAGCAGCCAGCACGACCCCTGCCCTGCCATCACCATCCTCGTGACAGCACATTCCCATCCTGCCACTGCTCTGTGGGACCCCAAACTCAGCCCATGCCCCCCAGACCAGGCTCACCTCCTTTTTCATGGCAGCTGGGCAGGCGGGTGTGGCTCGGGACAGGAAGGAGGGGAAGTAGGTGTGAAGGGTGGCTTCAGGTCGGGCACCAAAGGCCAGGACTTTCAGGCGGGGGTAGAGGCGCTGCAGCTGCTCCTGCAGGCTGAAAGAGAGAGAGAGTGGAGCTGCTGAGGACCATGGGGCACCAGGATGGCACAGGAGGGCACTGACAGCTCACCCTGTGACACTTCTGCACTGGGGATGGATGGACAGTGTACCTGGGGGACAGCGAGTTGTTGGGCATGAAGGCAAAGTCCAGCAGGGGGAAGAAATCCTTGGGGCCAATCATGCCAAAGCCTTTGGTGAGGTTGGGGTGCATCCTGCAGAACAGAGACCTGAGCTGGTGAGGGGGCTGGCGAGGGGCAGTGGTGCCCCTGGAGTGTGCAGCCCCCCTGGTACCCGGTGGGACAGAGGGTGTCACTCACATCAGCAGCCTGTCCAGGTAGGAAACGGCGTACGGGGACAGGGACTTGATACCGAGCACCGGGAGCATGACACCGAGCCACACTGCAGGGAGAGATGGGACAGGTCTGGTGGGCTGTACCTACACCAGGACATCAGACCACTCAAACTGCCAGTGCACAGACAGGCTAACCCCTACCCAAACTGTCAGTGCACAGGCAGGCTGTCCCTACACCAGGACATCCCAGTACACAAACTGCCAGTGGACAGGCAGGTACAGCCCTACACTGGGACATCCCAGCACCCAAACTGCCAGCAGGCTGTCCCTACACCAGGACATCCCAGTACACAAACTGCCAGTGGACAGGCAGGTACAGCCCTACACTGGGACATCCCAGCACCCAAACTGCCAGTGCACAGACAGGCTAACCCCTACCCAAACTGTCAGTGCACAGACAGGCTATCCCTACACCAGGACAAACTGCCAGCAGACAGACAGGCACAGCCCTCGGGAAGGGCTTTGGGGCAGAGGAGAGGAGCAGCACGCTCCCTGTGCTCCCAGGCAGTTTGGGTGATGTGGAGCAGCACGCTCCCAGTTCCCAGTTCCTCCCAAACCCCAGCCATTTTCCTGTCCCAGCTGGGGAAATCGCTCCAGATCTTCAGGATCTTTCCCAGCCTTTTCCTGGCAGTACTGCCAGCAGGAGCAGATCCAATCSTGCTGCTCCTGGCTCTCACCTTTCAGGCCCTCATGGAGGTCGCTGAACCCCGCCTGTCCCAGCGCCCACAGCACTGTCAAACACTTTGCTGGCCGGTTCTGGTGTGAGCGCAGCACCTCCAGGTACTGGGAGAGAATGGCAGAGTTTAGTTGGGAAGAGCTGCAGCCCATCCCAGCCCAACMAAGCCTGAAACCATGGGATCAGCACTGCCCGGGCCCCCAGCAATTGGGAGGGACCCACAGCTCCAGGTAAGGCCAGGAGCTGGTCTGGAGAAATTGGGGGATCTCAAACCCAACCCTGGGGGTGCAGTGGTGTTGGGAGGGACAGGGGGAACACCAAACCCAACCCTGGGGGTGCAGTGGTGTTGGGGGGACAGAGAGAACATCAAACCCAGCCCTGGGAGTGCTGTGCTGATGGGGAGGAACCCCAAACCCAACCCTGGAAGTGCTGTGCTACTGAGGGGAACACCAAACCCAACCCTGGGGGTGCAGTGGTGTTGGGGGGACAGGGGGAACACCAAACCTAACCCTGGGAGTGCTGTGCTGCTGGGGAGGACAGGGGTAACACCAAACCCAACCCTGGGGGTGCTGTGCTGCTGAGGGGAACACCAAACCCAGCACTGGGGGTGCAGTGGTGTTGGGGGAACAGGGGGAACACCAAACCCAACCCTGGGAGTGCTGTGCTGCTGGGG